TTCAGAATAATATGCATATAATGATAATAATTAGAGCTGCAACGATGGGTTCTAGCATTTATTACGTTTTAGGTGGATCTGCCTTCACTGGACCATTTGAAGGAATTTATTCGATAGGTTTTATTAGAATTAAGGTATGGGGATTGTGTGACCTACCACCGGCAAAATTCACAAGCTATGGTATCAATCGCATTTCCACAGGTAAGCTTTTCTTCTCTCAATTATAAATTTGGTACCAAGGCATTAAAAAAACATTTACTCCAATCTATTTAGGAATGTTTCAGGAATGGATTGAAGAAAAAAATCAATATTCATGGAGGAGGTTTGTTGTTAAATCATAACATGCCTGACCTGCTGTATAAAAGCTGTAGAAAGGTTATTATTGTTTATCTTTGTGCATGATTAACAATAATCTAAATATGGATTGGGTAAAAATTATGATATCTTGAAGTTATATCTTAAAAACCAATAATGATAAATGACAATAAAAAATCACCAAAGGTGTATCTAAATCTTTCAAATTCATTTCCCGATCATGAAAAGAAGCTAACAGCGGTCGTGACCGTTCGGCAGGGGGCGTTCACTGTTTCATGGTAACTGATCCCATCTCTGCTGTTCTGGAGTTCCATGATTGCTCTGCTTCTGTTCTTTATTGGTTCATGGACTTTTAATCTTAAATACTGTCTGTTATCTCCATATGTTTCATTCTAGAAGAAAGTCTTTATTATACACGTAAATAGAGTAATTTTAAATTAAAGCTGTCAATTGCTACTAAAGTAAACAACGTTTATAACCCATATCTATGAACAGGTATTCAAACTATTTATTCAAAGTTGAATAAATTTCCAGTGTACCAGTACAATTCCAATTTCATTATTTTTAATCATTTATTTCTACACCTATCCAACTTAGAAAAAATAAAATATCACTTGCACCTGTTTTAACGATTTTTTATAGAAAGAGGATACTAATGTGAAATTGAAGGAAGTTCAACATGAGCATGTCATGAAGCGTCGTATAAATCAAAACATATTCAATACGAAGATTTATCAACTCTATATTGAACACTTTAGTACGTTAAATGAATACAAGTACCATTATGATAGTGACATTGAAATTGTGTATCAAACCTTTCGGTTTTTGAAATATTATCCAAAACAAGGTATTTATCTTCACAACAACTAAAGACTTCATTTATCATACTCCATGTTATTTCTGATAAAAATCAGAAAATCGACTTGCATGAATATAGTAAGATTTAATTAACAGACATATTGCAATCTAGCTGATACTGTTGTTAATTGCACCTCTCCTTCTCGCTCTATCTCTTGTAAAAAAAAAATTAAGTATTGCCCTTTTATAGAAGTGTTTCTCACAATGACTTTTCTAATATGACAGTTCTTTATTTATAAAAATATTTTGAAATTGTTTCAGGAACTTTTAATTCAAACTACCGAAAAAGTATACAAACACACTCGAAGCTAGTAAAGGACGCCCATAGGAAACATGCCTTTAAATATTCCGAGAAAAATCAATATAATGTCAGTATCTTTTTTATTAGCATGAGTTTTAATTTAATGGGAATTGTACTAATAAACATTTATGTTTGAGGTCTCATCCTGGTTCGGCCAAAGCGACTTGAAGTGCATCGGCATCTCTGTCAGTACAGCAAGTTCAAGTTTCCTTTAATTTTACATTCAAATAGTGTTATAATGACTAGATAAGTTACACATTAAGGTGAAATATCCCTCTGTCCCATATTTTACCATTTTTTTTAAAAATTCAAACCATTGATTTTCATCAACAACTATAGCATTAGATTCAAATGGAAAATAGTTTGAAATATGAAGCGTTGCTTACTTATGAGAAATCACTGTTTTTAAGAGTGTATGAAAAGAAATTTATTATTTATTCGCCGAGTCCTGGAAGTCCTTCTCCCAGCTGCGCCGTATGTTCGTATATATATCCTATATATCTTACGTTTACGTTGTGTAGCACAGTTACAAGACTTTGGTCATGAATGGAATAAAAAATAAAATTTTGAAATACATGTATTCCAATGTGTGCATTTTACTGAATACGTTGATATTAAAAAAAATTTAATATGCAAAACCTTAGAGAAAACAAAAAAAGTCAAAAATATTCTCTATGAAACTAAATAAATCTTAGATGATAAAAAGTTCCAAATAAACATGTATGATGAAACATATTTTATAAAGAATAAATATCTGTTTTAAGAATCTTTACTTTGAGACCCGTCTCTTTAGGATTGATAATAATTCCGAAAATTGAAAATATTTGAACAGATCAGAACAAAATAGATTGATGTCTTAAATTCGCTTTAATTTGACGATGAATTTATCAAAAAACCATTAATTTTCCAGAAAATGCCGTACTTTCGTACAATGCAGTATATATACCTTTTTAAATAATATATAAAAAAACATTCAGATGTCCATACGACAGAACTTACATAAAGTTTAATATCCATACATACTTCCTTTGAGCATTTTGAATGTGCTTTTATCATTTAAAAGGGTGCATTTGCAAACGTACGACCTAACGGAAACGAACTCGGAGCACACTCCGGATTCGCTTTCTGGGTCCGCTTTGGGTTCGCTAGGGGTCCCCTAGGGCTGGCCCCGAGTGAGCCCGGAGCAAAGTCAAAACGCACCTATAGCGGGCCCAAACGAACTCGAGCGAACCAGAGAGCAAACCCCACATTCAGTAGCGGTCCCAAAAAGCGAACGCCCGTTCGGTATTGCTTTACAGAGCTGTTAATCAGGATTAGCGATTGACCAGTCAGTACCCCGACCAATCAAAATGGCATATTTATCTTTCGATTGGGATATAAGATAATGTTTCTATGTTATTCGATATAAATCCAAACATTGTACATACAAGCAAAGCGTGTTAATGCACAGCGTTAATTTATTATGATAACTAAAATATTATTTTATTTTAATTTTTTTCAATTCTCCGGACTGCATGTTTTATTTATAAATTTATTTTCTTTTTTTTTTGTAAAAGCAATTAATACATTATATATTTTAATGCTCCAGAGAGAATGTTACATGTAAATTTAACTATTTACATTCTTTAGTTTTTTTTAAATATTTAAAGTTCATTGATAAATATAAATTGGGCAAATATATCAAAGCGTAAAAAAGGAAGATAGTAATTGCTATTACAATTTTTACTGAAAAAAAGAGAAGAAAAATAACTGGTCTTTGACATATTGTATTATTTCATTATCTCAAGGTACAGAACAAGAATATGTACGTGTCTTATTTCCGTTATCTCTATTTACATTTTCCTTTTAATTATTCAAAATTCACATTAAAACTATTGATCTTCTTAATTGGGCATGAAAAAATTAATGTAAATCTTCCTGTATATTATTTGAGAAAAAAAAAATGAAATAACTGCAGCAGGCTTATAGAAAACAGTTCAGGAACATGATGGGGAGGACGACTCATAGAAATTTAACAAAAAGAATAAATGTTAAATGTAAAAAATAATAATTTTAGAATTTATTTCATGTTTTTGTTCAAAAGGTTTTTTGAAGGATTTCCACATACAGAAAGTCTAAAATTAGAAATACCGGTAACAATAACATTATTTTTTTTTAAATCAAAAACAGGATCTTTATTTTTCACCTTTCTAATTATTGTGTAAGGCACAAGAACATTATTTACAAAGGTTTAAAACGCATGACTCTATCCATGTACATGCACATACAAGTATGGAATATTTATGTACAATTGCCAATGCCAATTAATTTTGACATAATAACTAATTTATGGAATTTCTCGTTCATTAACATTTTCGTGTACTGTTGTAAAACCAACTCATATTTATTGCACTATCGCAGTATTTCAAGAAACCGCCTTCACTCTCCATTCTCATAAACAACAAGACATTTAGGTATGTTGCACTTTGCCACAAATGTGACTCTAATTAGAGAACATATTTGTAATTAATTATGTAATAATTGATCTTGAAATCCATAAAATTATTAATAAACAACATATTATCTGTATCAAAAATTTACAACAGAATGAAACCGAATTATGAATATGATTAATATGTAAACCGTGATTACATAATATATGGCGTTATTGATTACATAATATATCAAACGTTCTTGTGGTCTGAAACCGCCAAAAACGACTAAAAATACAATAAAAACCAAGAAAAGAAGATAGACAAAACTGGACAACCTAAAAAACAGGAAAAGGTGGAGGGGTGGAGGCGGCTTAAAATAATTTGAAGCTATCCAACACACATGTACTTTTCACGGCGTTCTAAAAGAAACTGAAAAGAGACGCTATCTGGACGACCGGGTCCTGATTTTTACCGCGCACGATTTTCATTGGGCGTTTACTAAATGTTTTCTTTTCCAAGAATCGCTTGCATCTGCCTCTGCTAATTTGGACACAGCCAAAACTTTCCAACGATATGCCAAGCGCGATAACTCTTACACGCAGAGCATTCCAATGTACATAAAATATTTTAAGTAAAACATAAAATTCATTTAATAGATGGCTGACTATTTCACGTGTTCAACTACAGTGTCCTAACTAGCACAAAACATGCTACCTAAAAGTCACGTGACGGAATTTAGTATTCACAAAACTTAATGAGGTAAGATATCACGCAGTGAATTATAATATTCCACGTTTCACGGTCCTTTGTAACAACAGAGAGAGCGAGTGTAAGAAGAAGCAGTTTTTCTCTTTTAAACCTACATGTAAGCGCATGTCCATTAATCTCCTTTTAACAAAACATTACTAATGCAGATATACAACTACTGTTAAACGGAATACAATAGACAAACATGTACTATGTTTTATGTAAGTAAAAAAGTGGACGTTCTCATTATCGGACGGGAATTGAAGAAAATGTGATAACCCCCCCCCATATAATATATACTTTTATTTATTGCTATTACATTGTAAGTCAAGTCGTAGATAAGATGTTTATCATTCTTGCTTATATAAACCAGGAGACAGTTATAAGACTATTACACACGGACTTGGTAAAAACCCAGATTTGGTTGTTGTACAGTTAAAAATGAACGATGGCAATGTTTCCGAGGCAGCAGGTGAGTTTGTAACTTCATACTTTCTGTAGAATCATCAATGATCATAGAGGCCAAATGATCGTCGATTTCGTGGTCAACTTTAATCCACGATTTAACGGACAACAATTTTGTCTACACATTTTTAAACTTAAAAACTTCTATATATACATGTTAAAGTTACGTACGAACTTTTTTTTAAAGTTTCAAAGAACCAACGAAATTTTGTTTCACCACGATCACTAAACTTACACAAATAAAATAAATCCACGCCTAATTTTTTCAGTTTGTAAACTTTTTGTAGTTTGTATTATAGACCCAAGACGAACCATTTAAATATTTCTTTATGGCATTTTATTGTAGGTGTGACATTTAATTCACATGCCTTTACTCATCAAACTATCTGCGGGACTGTTTTTGCATTTAATGACCAAGAAATCCGTCTTTGGTCTATGTCCGGTAAGGTTTATATGTGAGCATAGTTATCGCTCTATCATAATAACTATTAGATTATGAAAGATAAAAACTTATTGATCATATAATTATTTATACCATCGTCTTCCACCTTCCTCAAATAATTTATTTTCTCCACGAATGAGTCTACTCTGCTCTGTTTTTAGCAAATATCAAAACAAAATGTTTGTTGTAAATGAGCATTTATTGTAATGCCAAACAAAGTAACCAAATATGTACAAAAGTTACATATGACCATATTTGAATATATCCTTTATAAGGATATTAATATACATAAGGAAAAAATACAAATATGACTAGATTTTTTTACGTTTGTTAATTGCTCCGAGTTTTTTTTTTTAGCTCACCTGAGATGAAAGGTCAACTGGGCTTTTCTGATCATCCGTTGTCCGTCCGTCTGACTAGCTGTCCGTCCGTTCATAATGTTTTAAAAGTGTCATCTTCTCTTCAAGAACCACTTGGCCAATTTTTATCAAACGTTGTACAAACATCCTCAGGTAGTGTAAATTCTAAATAATCAAAATCATGACCCTCGGGCGAAGGACGTGGCCACAATAGGGAATCTAATTTTTATATTGCAATATTTAGGAGGGGGAAACTTAAAAAAAACGTCTTCTCAAGAACCACGTGGTCAGAAAAGCTGAAACTTATAGGGAAACAACACTGGGTAGTGCAAATTCGAAATTGTTCAAATCATGACCCTCAGGTGTAGGGTAGGGTCACAATAAGGAATCCAAGTTAACATTGAATTATGTAAGGAACTTTAAAATTATCTTCTCATGAACACCTGGATTAGAAAAGCTGAAACTTATGTTGATGTATCGCTGGGTGATGTACAGTACCGACCAGACCTAACCTGACACAAGGCAGTCCCAGAGCTGTCCTACCGGTCCCTGAGAGCAGTCCCGGTGGGCGTGGTTTATTATTGTAATGGGCGAAGCTAACTCTGAAATTAGATTTCCAATAAACAACAGGACTATAAAAGGCAGTAAAAATTGATTTTGTGTAGTATGAGAGGAATCCTTACATGAATAAATGAAGATCATTTTTAAACAGTACGCGCATAGAAACAATTTGAAATAATATTTATTGAAAGAGGAAAGCTTTTACACCTACATGTATGAATTACACTGAATATGAATATTTCATCACAATTATCTGGTATATTAATCATTCTATTTCTTCATTTTATGTGATTGATACTGATTCCAATATTCATTCATTTATGCCGAGTAAAGGACAAAGTTTGCAGCTCTCCACCGGCAAACGGTGGCGTCTCAATATGGGTGAAAACTTCTCGAGAGGAATTTTAATTAATTAAGGAATGAATTTGATAGTTACCCATTTCATATGGTATAAACTGAGTTGGGGCAGTTTACGCTTTATAAATCGCGAAGCGGTTTATTAAAAAAGCCTAAACGGTTCTAACCCAGTTTATACCATATAAAATGGGTAGCTATGAAAATCATTGCTTAAAATCAAATTTTCATTCAACAGATGTACGAAAAAAGACGATTGTTCTAACAAAATGACTTTGATCAGTTTGTACAAATTTTGAATGTAACGTTAGGCGGATTGATACGTTTTTGACGCAAGTCATGGTAACGTAGGCAACCCGTTTAATACGATATAAAGTATATTTTTTATCCAATCAAATACAGCGTTACAACAAGAATTAAATTATTTTACAATGAATTCATAATGGCACGGAAACCTTCTGTAATATACAATATTGTGAACACTTTTAACGAAATATGAAACAAGAAAACATTGATGTAACCATTAATTGACGCCCGGGAAATAAATAAAGCAAACAATGAAAATGATCTTGATCATCAAACCGCTTCGATATGTGTTAAAAAGGAATGCGTCTAAATGATGGAGAGGATAGTCGAGAATATTTTGAAAACATATTCGGATGAAAATCGAACAAAAACGATAACCTTTTAAACTTTATCAATTCGTCAAGTAAATGCTGGCTGCATAAAATATAAATTGAAACTAGACTCATACATCAATTATTTCAAAAATGTATATAACTTTAAGAATATAAAACACGACCTTGTGTACAGTACGTTTTTATGCGATAAGTAAAAGTCGATGTTTTAAAAAATTGGACCTGTCGTAACTTTATAAATTAAATATCCAAAACATATATTTTTACAGATTCACTGTATGGAAGTAAATAGATTGTGTATCCCTTATTTTATAAAGGAAAAGAACACTCTGATTAACAATCTTTTTAATGTTTAGAATACCTTTAATTCTGAATAACTTAATTCTCCCACCTCGATCCCGATACTCCAACACCTAAACTTATATGTAAAGAGCAGCCCGGTCCTCCGGGCTTTAATTAGGTAATAAAACAATTATTTAATGCCTGAGCTCTCAATAGACCAGAATAGTATTCCCGAAGTGCAGGGAACAAGTCAGTGTGTTCTATTGCCCGAGGCCAACGGCTCAGGCATTAAATAACTGTATAAGGTTTTATTTTATGGTTGCATGGAACACCCATTTTTGTGTGCATGGTACTTGTAAAACGTGAAGCTTTTTCAAAAAAAAAAAAAAAATCTTAAATCTAGCTAACTGCAATGCTTTTTTTAAAATACGGAATTTTTTTTACCTCGTTTTATTTTTGCGAATTTTGTTCAAAGAGCTGTTGATTAATTTTTCCGATTCAAAATTTTGCGAATTGTTACTGGCGCTAAAAATAAAAATCACATAAGATTTTCATATCAGTTTACGTTTCAAATTAGTATCCATTGTTAAAATACCACCAATATACTCGCAACGTGGCAAGAAATTGCAGAATCGCCCCGAAACAATTTTAAAGATAACAAGATGTGTTTGTAAAACACAGTATGGTAATAGTGAAGATTAAACTTTTCTTAAATGCAAATTTAATTAAATTGTATCAAAAGTAGGTTATTCTCAATGGAAAAACAATTGTAAGATATGAAAGTAGGCCAATGTTAAAGTTTTTTTTTTTATAAGTAAATCAATCTCCAAGGTCAAGGTCAAAAAGTCAACTATTGGAGTAATTGGTATCCAATGAAAGGTCTTGCCACATGAAATACTTATGTAGAGTATAGAAGCCCTAGCCCTAACCGTTCAGAAGTTATGATCAAGGTTAAAAATTTTTAAAAGTAGGTCAAATTCTAAGAACAAGATCAAAGGGTCAAAGGTCTTGTTATCAAATGAAAGGTCTTGTCACAAGGATTAATTATGTAAAGTATGAAAGCACTAGTCCTAACCCGTTAAAAGTTATGGTCAAAGTTTGCTTTTTAAAAGTAGGTCAAGGTCAAAGGGCCAAGGTTCTTGGTATCCAATAAAGGGTCTTTTCACAAGGATAACACATATGAAGTATGAAAGCCCTAGCTCTTACCGTTCAAAAGTTATGACCAAAGTTAAAGTTTTTAAACAAGTACTGAAATCAACAAGATCAAGGTCAAAAGGTCAAGTTTGTTAGTATTCCAGAAAAGGTTTTTCACAAATAATACATAAGTGAAGCATAAATGTCCTGGTCTCTTGTGTTCAAAAGATATGCCCAAAGTAAAAGTTTAAAATTTTCATGTAAAAGTGGGTCAATATCCAAGGTCAAGGTCAAAAGGTCAAATTTTTTGGTACCCAAAGAAAGGTCTTGTCATAAAAAATACATATGTGAAACATGAAAGTCAAAGCTTCACTAAATCAAAAGAAATGGGCAAGGTTAAAGTTTTTGCGGACAAACAGACAGACAGACAGCTAGACAGACAGACAGACAGACGGGCAAACACGACAAAAACTATATATCCCCCGAAACTTCGCGATCGTTTACAGGGGCATAAAAATACAAAAAGATTTGCACTGAAATGACTTCTTATTAATTAATTATAACAAACCTTTTAGAGGTTGTCTATGCCTTTTTACCTAAAAAATAATACAAATAAAGACAAAAATATAATAACTAATTTTCTCATCGTTTGGTTTTTTCTCACCTAAAATTTACACGTCGTGTCTCTAGTAAGTACACTAAGTTCGAGTTATCACACGTCCAGTCCAATACGAAAATTCGTAATATTACCAAAAAACATAAGATTACGAGAAAGCGTAATCCCAAGACAAAATGAACTGCTGTTTTTAGCTGTTAGATAGCAGTGTTTTACCAGTTTTTTCAAATTTACAGCTGTTCTTTAGCAGTTCTCAGCTGTTCATATCATAATATGATCATATCATAGCTGTTTTCAAAACTGTTTCAAGATCAGTAAGCTTAGCTGTTTTTAAGCTGTTCTTCAGCAGTTCATCTCATAACAGGTAATAAAAAAACTGCTTTGCAGTTAACAGCAGTTCTCTGTTTCTGTTACCTGTTATGTATAATTTGATCGGGATTGAGAAACTGTTGAAATGTCGGGTTTGGTGTTCAATTAATTTAAACAACAGACCGCCAAAATTCAACAACCTTGGCTGCCATATTGTATAGTTTGGAGAGAAGGCAAGAGAATTTTTTGAAGAGGGGGATTGCCGTCACCAGTAAAACTGAGATTGGATTGCTATATCTAACAAAAGATGCAGATATTTTATATACAGTAGGTATATGTTTTTAATACATGTGTGTCTGTTGATAAATAAAAAATAAGTGCTCTAAATCTGTTACGTTTTGGCCACATTTCAGTCAGCTCAGAGAACTCTTGAAGGCTTGATATAGCAAGGTTTTTGTTGTTGTTGTTATTTTGCACTGATTTACCATAGCCTATACGATGTTTTTGTAGAAGAAGATAGAGGTGGATCTAGTGATTTTCTTGGACCTGATTGGGACTTAAAAACGGGGCCTATATATGAGGTATATACATGTATTTCTTTTTCTTATTTTAGGAAAAGCTTTAGATATTAAAGAAAACAATTATTTAAATCACTAATCAAATAATCATGAATGCCTTTAATTATTGTAAACAAATTGACACAAACTTGGAGAAACTACTAGACTTGTATATATAAAGTTAGATTAT